GAAAAGAAGGGTAACCAGAAGAGTATCAAGAAGGGTGCTAAACGTCGTCAAATTCGTCCAGGGAACAGAAGGAAGAATCGGCACCGAGATCATCATTTTGATGATCTGTAGATTGTAATGTTTTCCTGCACCGATCATCATTCCCCTTATTGTCATCGCATTTAGAACTTGTAATAAAATTTGTCCATGTTATTTCAGTTCAATTTTTGATTCCATATGCTTTTGTTACATTTAATTTTCCTGGAATAATTTTCTATTTTACATTTACAAATACTCGTGTGTTTGAAGAATGAACTGCCATAAGTCAAAATAAGATTGCAATCGTAACTTCTGGCCTACACAGCCGAAGTTGGACCAATTCTTGGCCTGTACTTGTATTGGGTGGACTAATTTAATTTTAAAAAAAATGGTTTAGAGCTCGAAAGGAGGAAGATTGCACGCCGCTCCTTTACTGAATTGGCTAAACCAAAAGATCTTTTCTTTTTTTAAGATAGGGAGCCTACTGAGCAAACCGGCCACCTTATATGGCATCTCCTCTACCACCATCATCTTGAGTTCTACACGTTCCAATCACTAGTACTTAGTTCCTCTTGACTATACAATTAACTCAGTTGGATAAGCTTACGTCTTATAGACTTAGGACTCCCATAAGCAAGCCTTTCAAAACTTCAATCAAGATAGGGAGTTCGTCCCAAAAGACAGTATAATACCACTTGCTTGTTCGTTGAGTTAATTAAACTATAAGCATAACTTTTAAAAATAAAGTACAAATGCTAGTAAGTATAATAATCGAAGCATTTGAAACAAATCTCTGCCGGACTGCGTTGGACCAACTACGAACCAGAATTGAGACAATTCTTCACATCGAAGCAAACTGTAAATTTACATATATTATCCAAATCTAGGACAAACATGCCATATTACTCTCTCTCTTTCTCTCTTTTCATTAAATTAATGAACAAGTTTAAATGCAATTATTGTTCTTGTAAATGTCGGCTTTATAGGCCTCCTAAGGAATTTATGCACTTTGCATTATATAATTTATTCTTCCATCTCAAGTTTTAAAAAGTAATCAACAAGTGAATTATGGGTCGCGAAGACCTGTTAAATAGTAGCGTGTGTTATGGTGTAATCAAACAATTAATTATTCATTAGTTGTAGTGCTCAAAATTGACCAAAGTACAAGCATAACTAATTGGATTTTTCTGGGTTAATTTCAAGAATCACTGAGATTTGTCACAACTCAAAACCCTCCTTGTCATGTCTCACCAAATAAAAAAGAACTTGAGTAAACGTTAAGCTCATGTTCATCCCCCCCCCCCCCCCCCCCCAATTTATCAAGAATCAATTTTCATTAACAATTACCTGAGGCCCGTTTGCATTTTATGGAATTCGCGCAAAGTATCTCAAGGAGTGCGTTTGTAAGATTGAAACTCAATAATTGGCAGGAGTCCTTATCGTTTTTTTTTTCTTGGAAGTATATCATTATATATGGAAGTCATTTTACGATAAGACGATTATCTACATTTCACATCCACAATGACATGTACAAATCGTAACAATTTGTCTGGAAAAAAAATGCGTATGAAATTATAAAAAATGGATCGTCAAATATGAGCTGGTTCAAAAGTCTTTGGGGTACACACACCAAATCGAAGAACGAGGTAAAATAAATAATAAAAATACGGAAAATACCATAAAAAATATAAGAAAAAAGTTATCTTTTTGTTAAAACAATTCTTATTTAAGTTATTAACAAACCACTCATGCTACAGTATCATAGTTCTTGATGCAACAATTGGCAAAGTGGCAAAATCCTTAACGAAATGAGGCTGCATTGCAGTGTCAAAAGTGTCATCATTTTTGCTTCAACTGTATGTCTCTTTCAGCACCAACTCCAGTAGGGACAAACACAAACTCGAAAATCAAAACTCACCTCCAAAACATTTTGGGCCCCATTATTTTCACTCACGCTCACAATCCTGAACTTTTTCGACGTTATGGATACTATAAACGTACCAGCTCGAGAATCCATTCCTGCAACCTCTGGCGTTTTATCTCTCTCGTTTTCTATATATTTTTATCACTCTCATCTCAACTTTTCCACGAGTGCTTTCCCCAAGTGTAGTGTTCGGTATCATCTAATTGGAGTTATATTCACTATTCCAAGACTCAACTTTTAGCACAAAAGTTGGCCCTTTTTTTCAATAATTTATATCCAAAGGTTGAACCTTGAGGTTGGTTTTGTATTTTCTTATAGTTGGTTGTTTTTGCACATAAGGTGGTTATTCCAGTTGTCCGAGTACATTGGAAGATTGAATATTTTTGTGAATTTGGAGTGTTGGGATATTTGTCGGAATGGTGATGGACACTGGAGGTAGACTTGTGGCTGGTTCTCACAATAGAAATGAGTTTGTGCTCATCAATGCAGACGAAATTGGAAAGGTAATTCTCTGTTTCCGTTTTATTTTCAGTTTTGTAGACTCCCATTCTGCATTTTGAGCTCTATCAAACTCTATTTTGGTTCTATATTTAGTTCTGCACGTACACTGTTATGAACTTTTGTTCAATATCTTGGATGATGATTTGTAATTTCATAGTAATAGTCTGAAATGCTATAGTTCTGATATTGGATTTTATTTGTTGATTAGAAGGGTGGATATGAATACGTATTTAATATTTTACTTATAATATTTCTTTATCTTTGCTTAGCTTGAAGTGTATAAATAAAGGCTACATTGAGTCACAGTACCTTTAATTTATTGATACTTCACAGTTATTTTGCCTATATGGTGTATCAGATATTCACAACTGTTTGCTCTCTTCAAATGTTGATGTTCGATGGTTTATGCTTGCAATATTGGTATAATTTGTTTAAAATCTCAGTTTTATTGCTTTTCGGCTCTGAGAAGTTTTCGAAATTTTAAATTTCTTGCTATCTTTTACAGTCTTGTGCAATCAACATGAGGGATTGTGAGAACTAAAAGTTAAGGCACAGAAATGCTGAATAGTTCTGTATCCTCGTGGGAATAGCAGAAGTATAAGCTGAACGTTGCAGCACGAGTAATCTTTGACCATTGTTAAGTTTTAATCTGATTGTTATGGTACAATGTAGACACTATGAAGTGTAGGATTCAAAAACTAGAATATGTTGATGTAACATTGAACATCGGTGATTGAGACTTGTGAAAACTACAAATGGGTTCTGGAAAATAATTAGCTAATGGGGACTCAATAAATTTCTAAAAGGTGCACGATATGAAGCTGATGGAGCTTCTTCTGGAGTTTTTACTGATGAGATGTGACTAATGATGCACTCTTGGTTTTTTGTAATTCTCTAGATGAAGTCTGTTCGAGAACTAAGTGGACAAATATGCCAAATTTGCGGAGATGAAGTTGAGATAACTGTAAATGGGGAACGCTTTGTTGCCTGCAACGAATGTGCTTTCCCTGTTTGCAGGACTTGCTATGAGTACGAAAGAAGAGAGGGAAATCAGGCCTGTCCACAATGCAAAATTCGATTCAAGCGCGTGAAAGGTTAGTCCTTTCTTTTTCTGTTTTAGGCAACCTAGCTGCATTGACAGACACACATGATGGAGTCATGTAAATTACAGGTAGCCCTAGAGTTGAAGGTGATGAGGAAGAGGATAGCATCGATGATTTGGAACGCGAGTTTGACTATGGAAAAGTTGAAACTTCAGTTCTTACTCCAAGTTCGGGGGCCGTTCCTTCTGCATGCGGAAATCATGTTGGTTCATCTAGATTAGCCACAGAGGATCTTGAAATCCCTGTTTTGACATGTGTTGAAGAGGTAATCAGAAGGTTTCTCAAACCTCTCTCCCCCTCTCACCCTGCTTAGTTTCGAAGTTCTTAATTTTCTAATTAGTTTGAGGATGCTCAGATTTTTTCAGATCAACATACTATTATAGTGCCACCTCCATTTTCCAGTCAAGGGAACGGGATTCATCCATCTCCTTCGTCAACTTCACCATCTCGTGAGTCATTTTACACTTTACTCTCTTCAAATTTCCATGCAAGAATGAAAAAGAATGTTATTTTCGTGTCCTAGTGCAACCGAGGCCAATGATCCCTGAAAAAGACACTGCATTATACGGATATGGAAGTGTTGCATGGAAGAATCGGATGGAAGAGTGGAAGAAAAGGCAAAGCGATAAATTTCCGATGGTTAAGCATCAAGAGGATAATAATGAGAGTGAATTGGATCCTGATTTGACTGTGTAAGTTACTTCCTCCATTCTTAGCCACTGTTTGGTTTAACTAAGAAAGTTGATTGAAATTTAAATTAAAGTCAATAATTAATTTTATTCACATCTCATGACATCCACAACTTTTCAATATCAAAATCTATTAAAAATCTGATTTTAATCCGAACCAAACAACAGTGGCTAAATGTTCAAGTTGTTTGTTCACCAACCCAACACACGACAATGGCCACAAATACCCAAGCCCATACATATATCCAGCCCATCAACCCAGCACACTAAACCCTAACTCGAACCGGCCTAAAACCAAGACACCACGAGACCAACTAGCCCAAATCCTAGCCAATAATCCGACCCACATCAAAGCCCATATCTTATCCCACCATCGCCGCTGAGTTCCTCAACTACCACCATCACCATACTAGGAATCAAGCCAATGGACATGGCTTCAACTTCAGTTATTATGGGTTTTCCTAAAGCAAAATTCTTGAATTTGATAACAGACTTAATATTTGGCAAGATATGCATCTCTTACTCCTATTTGGCATATTCATTCACATCACTTTGAAACAAACGACGCACCATACTTTTTTTCGAATAATTTTTTTAGTTTTTCCTGTTTTATTAATTTTCCTGTAAATGTTTCTACTAGGACGGATGAAGCAAGACAACCTCTGTCAAGGAAACTAGCCATTGCTTCGAGCAAGCTAAACCCTTACAGATTGATAATTCTTCTCCGCCTTGTGGCTCTTGGCTTCTTTTTCCACTATAGGCTTCTGCATCCAGTTTCTGATGCATATGGCTTGTGGATAACATCAGTTATTTGCGAAATATGGTTCGCAGTATCATGGATACTTGATCAGTTCCCGAAATGGTACCCAATTCAGCGAGAAACATACCTTGATCGACTGTCAATGAGGTATATCGGTCAGGGATGTGAAATTCGATTGTTTAAGAATCTTGGTGTATGATGACTCTGATCATTGTTCTTGCGGTTTAGGTATGAGAAAGAAGGAAAGCCCTCAGAGTTAGATGCCATAGACATCTTCGTGAGCACGGTTGATCCCATGAAGGAGCCACCTTTAATAACTGCAAACACTGTTCTTTCCATCCTTGCTGTGGATTATCCAGTCGAAAAAGTTGCGTGCTATTTGTCTGATGATGGTGCTTCCATCCTCACTTTCGAAACTCTTTCTGACACATCTGAATTTGCTCGAAAATGGGTTCCCTTCTGCAAGAAGTTCTGTATAGAACCACGAGCTCCAGAATGGTACTTCTCTCAAAAGATCGACTATTCGAAAGACAAAGTCCATCCTGCATTTGTGAGGGAAAGGCGTGCAATAAAGGTCTTTTCTTCTTGCTTCTTAAATAGAATATGATTATCTGCATGACACAGAGAGGTTTTCTTATGATTCCAATCAACTGCATTACTGTGATAGGATGCTATCAATATATTTGTTTCTCATGCAGAGAGAATATGAAGAGTTCAAAGTTCGGATCAACCGCTTGGTGTCTATGGCGCAAAAAATTCCTGAGGAAGGTTGGACAATGCAGGATGGAACTCCCTGGCCTGGAAACAATGTTTGGGACCATCCTGGTATGATCCAGGTGAGAGTAATACCTTCTCATTAACAGTTCTCTGGACTATGCGATTCTTCTTTTGCAATATGCAATGTGCATTATAAAGATTTAAGAACTTTGCTCATCTCTGGATTCTGATAAATTCAAATCTGACAAATTTGGAAAATAAGAAAATCAACTATTGGCCTCATTTGTTAATATCTGATTTTGACACTAGATGTAAATGAAAAAAAACAGAATGACAAATATTGCATAAAAGAAACCTCTTTAGAGAGCAGGTGCAAATATTGTAATGACAACCAAAAATCGGCAGATAGGATGTGAAACTAGTATTTGAATTTGTTGTGTTAACGAGTCACTAATTACACTGATAATATTTTGTACTCTATGGAGTGCCTTTGCCATAAATAATTGTCACTTCATGCCATTTAAATTGATTGATTCATGGTGATGTTCAAAATTCTAATTTTTGAGGTTGTCTTATAATAGGTATTCCTTGGTCAAGATGGTTTCCGTGATGTAGAAGGAAATGAATTGCCACGTCTGGTTTATGTTTCCCGTGAAAAGAGACCTGGTTTTGAGCACCATAAGAAAGCAGGGGCCATGAATTCACTGGTAAAGCTCAAGTCACCTATACATTGTAAATTTGCCACCCACCCATATTACACCAAACAGAACCAAAAGAGAGAAGGAAAAAGATGAACAAATCAATAAAATCTAAGTTCAGATTTCATGGACTTCATTCTTTGTTGTAAAATTTTAGGTGCGAGTTTCTGCTGTGCTATCAAATGCACCTTATCTCCTGAATGTTGACTGTGATCACTACATAAACAACAGCAAGGTACTGAGAGAAGCCATGTGTTTCATGATGGATCCTACTTCAGGGAAGAAAGTATGCTATGTCCAGTTTCCACAAAGATTTGATGGGATTGATAATAGCGATAGATACTCAAATCAAAATGCCGTATTCTTCGATGTAAGTAATTTTTTTCTTCTTGTATTGGCTAGATTTACTGTTCTGCTCGTCAAGCAGAAAATGATTTTGGCAATTTTGACAGATCAACATGAAGGGTTTGGATGGTTTGCAAGGGCCAATATATGTTGGTACAGGGGGTGTCTTCAGAAGGCAAGCTCTTTATGGATACGATGCTCCTATCGAGAAGAAGCCACCTAGCAAGACTTGTAACTGCTGGCCGAAGTGGTGCTGTTTGTGCTGTGGATCTAGAAAAAATGGGAGACCAAAATTGAAGAAAGATAAGATGCAGAAATTGAAGCAAAAAGAGGCATCTGAACAGATACATGCACTTGAAACCATCAAAGAAAGTTCTGAAGGTAACTTTTTTGTTCTTAGAAAACAATATTAGCATATTGGTCGCTTGATCTTCCAGTTATTATCCTCTATAACCAAAACCCCTCCACCTATCTGAGCCTGAGGCACCAAATATAAGAACAGGAACAAAATGGATTCATCTAAATTGAGCACCTTATCTTTCCATCGCAGATACAAAAACTGAATATCAGTCTATTGTTTTCCAAGAAAAACTAGAGAAGTTTGGTCAATCTCCTGTTTTCGTAGCCTCAACACTACTAGAAAATGGTGGCATTCCTAAGGAAGTTAGTTCCACGTTACTCTTAAAAGAGGCCATACATGTTATCAGCTGTGGATATGACGATAAGACAGAATGGGGAAAGGAGGTAAGTCTTAACTCTGAATTACATTAATGCATATATGCTGCCATATAACCTTCTGATTATCAAAATTCTGAACCAGGTTGGCTGGATATATGGCTCTGTCACTGAAGATATCTTGACAGGATTCAAGATGCACTGCCGTGGCTGGCGATCTGTGTATTGCATACCAAAAAGGCCTGCATTCAAAGGGTCAGCTCCCAACAACCTCTCAGACCGTCTTCACCAGGTTCTTAAATGGGCTCTTGGATCTGTTGAGATATTTTTGAGCAAACACTGCCCCATATGGTATGGTTATGGAGGTGGATTGAAGTGGTTGGAACGAATTTCCTATATAAACTCAGTTGTATATCCCTGGACTTCTATACCTTTGATTGTGTACTGTACATTGCCTGCCATCTGCCTTCTTACTGGGAAATTTATTGTTCCTGAGGTGAGTGATGGTGTCGAGTTATCCTTTGGATTACATTCTTAAGAACCTAGAAAGCTATTTAATATGATGGTTTGAAATGTTATGAATCTATTCATGGAAAAAGACTGTAATTGCCTACATTTTGGAAGATTACTTGCATTTTGTGGCCAAAGGCTTTAGCTAACAATATTGTCAATTTACAGATAAGTAATTATGCAAGCATCATATTCATAGCCCTCTTCACCTCCATTGCTGTGACCGGTATCCTTGAGATGCAATGGGGTGGCGTTGGAATCGAAGACTGGTGGAGGAATGAGCAGTTCTGGGTCATTGGAGGTGTTTCCGCGCATCTTTTTGCTCTCTTTCAAGGATTGCTGAAGATTTTAACTGGTGTGAAGACAAACCTTACCGTTACCTCAAAAGGAGGAGCTGATGGTGAATTTCCTGAGCCACATCTCTTCAAGTGGACGTCTTTATTAATCCCGCCCACAACATTGCTGATAATAAATATAGTAGCAGTTGTGGTGGGCATTGCAGATGCCATTAATGATGGATATGATTCCTGGGGACCATTGTTTGGTAAACTATTGTTTGCATTGTGGGTTATTGTTCACCTCTATCCATTCCTCAGGGGACTGCTACGGAAACAAGAAAGATTGCCTACAGTTATCGTTATCTGGTCAATTCTACTGTCTTCAATAATAACCCTTCTGTGGGTAAGAATCAACCCTTTTGTTTCAAGAGAAGGTCCTGTACTAGAAATCTGTGGACTTGATTGCGATGACTGAAAAGGGATTTCTTTGTGCAACCGGATATATTTAGTCGAACGGTTTTGCACGATTTGATTGATTTATACTGAGGGTAGAATAGTATAGCATGCAGAGTATTGGGAAGTGAAGAGGTAATATTACTTGTTTTGAAATGTTATATTTGATTATTTTGTATTGAGTTTGGATATCAAGTTTCCCAAGTTTATGTATACTGGGATTCAATGATACTTTATAGATATATAATGATAATTTGGTCTCCCATTTTTAAGAGCGAGCTCTACCTAAAATACTTGTAACAATTAAATTATTGGAGGCTAATGTGAGAGAAGCCCAACCAACAAGAATTTTGATTTTTGAGAAATGTCGGTGATGATCTCAAATATTGGTTAGCCCGACCACCAATCCCGAGGATAATTTTCCCAACTTATGTCGTCGTCATGTTTTCGTCCTCGGGTATGATGCCTCGATATAGACTCCTCAGTAGTGGTGCTTTCCTCGAGATCATGACTAAACATAGTACCGTATAGTCCTCGACTCAGGCTTATCCAAACCTAAAAGAAAAAAAAGTCCTACTATTAGTATGTCACCCCATCCTAAAAGGATTCTACCATCAGTATCCTACTTCTATCCAAACACGTGGGACATACGAATCCAATCAAGTTGCAACTTCTAGTCATATTAGAACTCTTAGGGGTTTCAACATTGTGGTTCTACTAGGACTGTGCTACCAACCTCTATAAATACGTTACTCCAATTCATTATTAAGGTATGTTTTTACACACAATTGATAGCATATATTATTTTCATATTCTCTCTCTGACTTAAGTATTGAAGGGGCGACGAGAATACACCTCGACGCCTTTGTTTTAGGTACCGGAAGACTTTGTTCGTGCTCATTTTCAGTCGTTAAGCTCGGAAGTCGACAGATACGATTTTTGGTAGCATCAATCGGTATTCAATCAAACTTGATAATATTGTATACAAATAAGATCAAACTTGAATAAAGATTTTTTTTTCTAGAACATGGAACAGTATTATTATTTTTTTGCCCTTTTTAGACTAGGAAACAAGTTTGTCACAAAATCTTGATTAAATATTAGTTCACATCAATAAAAAATAGTCCATTAATTATAACTTACAAGAAGGTGTTCCTAATAGGTAGGGCTATCAATGGATTGAATTTTTATCTGAATAGGTATGGCAAAAAAAATCCAACAAACCCGATACCCGAGGGCTCCGCCCTGAACAGGGCAGAGATTACCCACTTAATTGGGTATTCGGGGTGGGGACGGGAAGGAGAATTTTGTCCTGGGGCGGGAACGAGTAACAGGTGCCCCACCCCCATTTATTATTATTATTATTATTATTAGAATTCAATACTTTAAATGTAAAATTTCACGAAATTTCATTAGTTTTAATTGAAAATGAAAACTAAAATTATTTTTCTTGGTCTAATGAATGAGGTTAATAAAATAAATTATCAAAAAAAAAAATTAAAAAAATTTAAACGGGGCAAGGGCCCCTCCCTGCCCCCGCCTTATTTTAAACTGGTAATGCAACAGGGAAGGGGTTGGGCATTGCTTGGCGGGGCAAGGGAGGTTGCTCCGACTAGGAGTGTCCAAAAGTCCCGAACCGAATCGGACCGAACCGAACAGAACCGAATCAAGCGGTTCTTCATAAATTAAATACCCGAACGGGTACCCGAATCGAGAACCGATGGGTTTGGGTCGGGTCTCGGGTCTAGACCAAGAACCGAAGAACCGAACAAGAACCGAAACTAAATAAATTTNTAAAGAACACATAAAAGAGATCATCCAAAAATGCAAACAGTGCGGTGAATTTTACTCGAACCTTGCTATAGGTACAGAAAAATTTGCCAGACAATAGCCAGAATTTTGAAATCAAAGGCCAGGATTTATACAAAAAAACGGGGAAAAAAAAAATCAAAGGCTAGGAACATTTTCTGGTAAATTTCTGGTAAGTATGTCACCCCATCCTAAAAGGATTCTACCATCAGTATCCTACTTCTATCCAAACACGTGGGACATGCGAAACCAATCAAGTTGCAACTTCTAGTCATATTAGAACTCTTAGGGGTTTCAACATTGTGGTTCTACTAGGACTGTACTACCAACCTCTATAAATACGTCACTCCAATTCATTATTAAGGTATGTTTTTACACACAATTGATAGTATATATTATTTTCATATTCTCTCTCTGACTTAAGTATTGAAGGGACGACGAGAATACACTTCGACGCCTTTGTTTTAGGTACCGGAAGACTTCGTTCGTGCTCATTCTCAGTCGTTAAGCTTGGAAGTCGACAGATACGATTTTTGGTAGCATCAATCGGTATTCAATCGAACTTGATAATATTGTATACAAATAAGATCAAACTTGAATAAAGATTTTTTTTTCTAGAACATGGAACAGTGGTTTATTATTATTATTATTTTTCCCTTTTTAGACTAGGAAACAAGTTTGTCACAAAATCTTGATTAAATATTAGTTCACATCAATAAAAAATAGTCCATTAATTATAACTTACAAGAAGGTGTTCCTAATAGGTAGGTCTATCAATGGATTGGATTTTTATCTGAATAGGTATGGCAAAAAAAATCCAACAAACCCGATACCTGAGGGCTCCGCCCTGAACGGGGCAGAGATTTCCCACTTAATTGGGTATTCGGGGTGGGGACGGGAAGGAGAATTTTGTCCTGGGGCGGGAACGAGTAACAGGTGCCCCACCCCCATTTATTATTATTATTAGAATTCAATACTTTAAATGCAAAATTTCACAAAATTTCATTAGTTTTAATTGAAAATGAAAACTAAAATTATTTTTCTTGGTCTAATGAATGAGGTTAATAAAATAAATTATCAAAAAAAAATTTTAAAAAAATTTAAACGGGGCAAGGCCCCCTCCCTGCCCCCGCCTTATCTTAAACTGGTAATGCAACAGGGAAGGGGTTGGGCAATTCTTGGCGGGGCAAGGGAGGTTGCTCCGACTAGGGGTGTCCAAAAGTCCCGAACCGAACCGAACAGAACCGAACCAAGCGGTTCTTCATAAATTAAATACCTGAACGGGTACCCGAATCGAGAACCGATGGGTTTGGGTCGGATCTCGGGTCTAGACCAAGAACCGAAGAATCGAATAAGAATCGNATGCAAAATGCAATTGAGATAGTTTTTCCGAACACAAAACATAGATGGTGTTTATGGCACATATTGAAAAAATTGCCAGAAAGGTTTGGATATCACCCGGATAAGGTTTCGATATTTTTGGCTATACATGTATTGGTTTATGATTCGCAATTTGTTGAAGAATTTGAGGGAGGTTGGAAAGTGATGATCGATACGTATGACTTACACAATAACACTTGGTTGTCTGGATTGTATGAAAATAGAGGTCGTTGGTGCCATGTTTGTTGAAAACAACTTTTTGGACTGGTATGTCAACAATGTAAAGAAGTAAAAGTATGAATGCCTTCTTCGACGGTTATGTGTATCCGAAGACATCGTTGAAGCAGTTGGTCAAACAGCACGAACGAGCATTGCAGAATAAGGTAGAGAAGGAATTTCAGGTCGATTTCAAGTCTTTATCTCAAATGTTAACGTGTGCGACAATGTACGAAATGGAAAAGTAATATCAGGAATTGTACACCATTTCAAAGTTCAGGGAAGTTCACGCTGAGTTTATAGGGAAGGTTTACTGTGACCTCATGTTTGCTTCAGAAGGACATCTGGGGATGACGTGTAAGGCACGTGAGGACATTGTTTATGCTGGGAACGACGAGGTAGAAAAAATTTTCAGGTGTTATTTAATAGAGAGAACTGTGAAATCATCTGTAGTTGTCACATGTTCGATTTTTGGGGTATAGTATGTAGGCATGAAATCGTAGTGTTGATACATAATGAGGTTGCTGTGATGCCGGATCAGTATATACTGCGCAGATGGAAGAGGGATGTTAGCAGAGCACACACGCGGGTCACTGTGAATTATGTTGGTATGGTTAGTACTCCTGAACAATTGAGGTATGACGAGATATGTCAGGCAATTGCCACGGTGGCAGACCTTGCAGCAGATGATGAAGGGAGGCATCGTGCAATCATGGATTGGATACAACTTCAAAATAAAGAGCTTAGGTGACAAAGTCGAGTTCCGGTAGTAATAACAATTTACAGTGTGTTGCATCTCAAATTCAAAGCAACGTCACTGTGAGGGATCCGATATCGTCGAAGAAAAAGAGAGCCTCGAAGACAAAAAGGAGGAAAGGCCCATTGGAGGCGAGCACTAAGAAATCTAAGGTATATTCGTATGAATCAACGTTGTTTTCACTTCATTTCGTTCAGTAATACCAATTTCATTCCGCTGTACATGCAAGTGCGATCGAATAACATAACAGGAAATGTTCTGCCACATCATCAACATCAATATTCAATGCCAAAGCTACAACAACATTCAAGACCAATTCCAACGCCACAGCAATATTTAATGCCAATGCCATACTTGTTTTTACAACTCTTATTAGTTAGTATATTAATTGCACGATTTTTTAATGCCCTTTTGTGTAATTAATGAAAAGCAACATGTGTAGGGTGACAATATGAGCCCAGTGTTAACACAACAAGTGTCGTTGTCTACGTTCATCCCTACTACGAAAGCAAATGTGGGTTTAAATTCACAAGGTACGTATATATTTTATTTTCAACGCTTAAAATTGACAAATAATCGACTCTTATTAATTTCAATTCACATATCGGTACTGAGAACCCATACAACGATCTACATTTACCACATCATAGTGGCTCCATTTAAAGTGAGCCAAACAGTTAAGCAAAGCGTCATCTGATGAAGCAAAATGCAATCGAGCTTTGTTAACAGTGTCCTTTTCAACCTCGAAAAACTTCTGAAATCCATGCACACAACGTGGACATCGATGTTTTATCGGGCAATCACTGAAGAAGTGTCCAACACTCCTACAACCGTGACAAACTCCGGAGTTCTTTCCATTA